TCCAGCTGTGAGTCCATTCACAAACAGACTTCTGTATCCTCTCGCTTTTTGAACCGCCTCAGAATTCAGCACATGAATGTTTTTGTTGTTGTTTTTTAAACCTAATGCTCCTTTTTATTTTTGTATGCTGTGTCAGATCTTGGCAGATTGTAATCAAGATGCATGCTCATATGCATATTCTCATATGCGTGCTTTTTTTAAAAGGCAAGGGCTGAAGCAAAACAGATGGTTGCTCCTAGTGCTTTTCAAGGTTCCATAATGAATTTCTCATGACAAATCTCCTGTTTCCCTATTCTGGGAAGGAGAAAGCATACTGGCACCATTCTTCAAATCAGTGTAATGGAGACTTTGTGTGAAGCCTTCTTCTGTTCTTGGACAGAATCTTTGTCAGCCCAAAGGCTATTTTGTGTATATATATATATTTTTCTTTTTGCCTAATGGTCAACTCTCAACAGCTGCTTTGAAGCAGCTTTCCATTCCAAGTTTCCATCATTGACCTGACCTTGGGGCTACTATGGAAAGAGATTAATACTGTAGCACAGCAAATGGTATGCATGTTGAAGAATGGCCTGAGAATGCCAAGAAACTGAGTGAGATACTTAGTAAAAGTACTCTTTTACACGATCAATATTAATACCGTATTACAATATAAGGAAATTATTTTTACAAAGTTTCTGTAATTTCACTCTTTATATGGTATGATATGGTATGGCCTTTATTGTCATTGTACATCATGTATACAACGAAATTGGTTATAAATGCTATCTTTCAAAAACAAAGCAAAACAAAAACACCCCACCCCTGTATATGAAGGGAATAGATAAGAGGAATAGAAATACTTGAAAACAGATCTTTGAGAATAATTTAAACCAAGTTGCCATGAAGAGCTGCCAGTTCCAGCAACTGATAATATAGTAGAATGTGTTTAGTGCTTTAAGCTAATGTTATTTGCATGACCTGATTTAGCTTCATTTTAAAGTCAGTTTCATTCTGCTATGGTAATTAAAATATAGCTGTCACCTTAAAGGATTCTGACTCTAATTCTTTGTTTCCTTTAGACCGTGTGACTCTGGGCTTCTGCTGCAGGCTTTATCAAAATAGTAGTCATTGCAAAACAGACAGATTGTCTTAGTTATGGCACGGTCAATGGGAATACTCCTTCCTATTGTTCTTCACTTTTTTATACTTTCATCCCAAATAAAATGTTGATATTCTCTTGAAAGTTTAACTGTTAGACCAGAGATACAGTAAAGCCTTGATGTCAGCCACCGTGTTGTCAGTGATCCTATGAAGAAGAGGAGGAGGAGGAGGTCCTGTAATAATGCTAGAAAAGTGATAGTTTCAATCTAGAATTAGGAACTGAGGGGTCCTTGGTGCTTTCTGAGCTTGGTTGTTTTCTTGTAGATGTTTCATTACCCACGTGAGGTAACATCATCAGTGCTAGTAATAAATGAGATTTCCTTACTAGCACTGACGATGTTATCTAATCTGGGTAATGAAATATCTGCAAGAAAACAACCAAGCTCAGGGAGCACCAAGGACCCCTCATTTCAAATTTGAGCTACAAATACAGGTAGTCCTCGAGTTTCGACCACAATTCAGCCCAAAATTTCTGTTGCCAAGTGAAACATTTGTTAAGTGAGTTTGACCCTTTTTACGACTTTTCTTTTCACAGTTGTTAAGTGAATCATTGCATTTGTAATGTAGCTGTAAGTGTACTTGCATTCCCCATTGACTTTGTTTATCAGAAGGTCACCAGAGGGGGATCACATGACCCTGGGACACTGCAACCATCATAAATATGAATTGGTGGACAAGCACCAGAATTTTGATCATATGACCATGGAGATGCTTCAATGGTCATAAGTCCCTATTTTCAGTGCCCTCGTAACTTTGAATAGTCGTTGGACGGTTGTAAGTTGAGGACTATCTGTATTCTCCTTTATGAAGAAAGGCCAGGACTTTTGTTTCTTTATCTTCATCTCAGTCCTGTGCAGTAGATGATGCGTAGTTAAAACGTTGAATATTCTGAGATGACTCTGTTAACTTCATAGTTGTATAGGGATTTGATCATGCGTCTCTCAGGTCCTGCAATCAACATTCAGCTCAGAATTCGGAGTTGATTTACCTTATGCATTATTCATGAATCTGCCAAGATTTCAGAAGAGATCATTTAGTGAAATATAAAAATAAATATAAGCTTAGACTTCTAAATTATGATGAAATTCAAGATGCTAGTTTTAAAATGCTTATATGCTTTTTTATTTTACTAATGAGAAGGCACAAGTCGGCTGTAGTAAATGTGTGGTTTAAAGGAAAGACTGATCCAGGCACAGAGATGCGATTGAGCAAGAATTAAGCATTTCCCAGTCTCGCTGATTTCAATGGAACATTTAACTTTCAGATCTAAACTTTCCTCCTGAGTACATATTTAGGATTCAGCTGTTAAAAATCTGCATAACTCTCCCTTTGAAACCAGAAGGATTTAAATATACCTGATGTCAATGTTTTTGGATATACAGCATTGGATAATTTTCCAGTGATACAAATAATAAAATTGCATCTTTATAAAATACAAATTTATTTATTTATTTATTTATTTATTTTATTAGATTTCTATACCGCCCTACTCCCGAAGGACTCAGGGCGGTGCACAGCCAAACAATAAAAAACACATACATACAAAATTTAAAAATAGAATAAAATCAAATTAAATAATTTTGGCCCCGACAAATTTAAAACCCCAAACTTTTAAAACCAATTTAAATATCTGTTAAAGTACCTTTGAGTATGTCTTCTCTTTTATCTGCATTTCCAAAATGCCATGCATCATTTTCATTGATATGTTTTAGCTGCTTGGTCCTTTAATTTCTGCATTTTGGCTCCATTGCATTAAATTTATCTCTTTGATGTAACACATCCACATATATTTTCTTGTAGACGTGTTGCGTTATTAAATGAAATCATGTTCTTGATTTTATATGTCAGTCCTTATACCTTTTGCCCTGTTAATTCCTTTACCTGGAAGGCAAGGGATTCCCAAAAGTAATCACTGAAAAAGATCACAAGGGTAATCTGGCAGTTTCTAAGGCTTTTTTGCCTGTGTGTTATGTTCCCTAGGTTTTGTGCTTCCCCACCCAAGGGGAACGGAACACTAGGCAGCACAGTAATGATGTTCAAAAGCTCTACTAACCATACCATGCTTGAATTAGGTTGGAATGAGGTTTAATTGGTTTAGCCCGATGAAATGAATTATGTATTTAATAGTAGCATCGGGTCAGGATACACTGACCTCATTAAGGCAACACACAAAACAAAGTGGAACAGCAGCACCTGGGAAAACATTTTAAAACATCAAATGCTGCTCAAAATAATCTGTCTCTAAAAATGCAGTGGTGGTTGGGAGTTTTACTGAAAAGTCTATCTCCTGGTACACATTAGCCTAACTGGTGACCCAGAGAATAGAACTTCAGACCCTGATCTAAGCAGTTGTGCAGGTTCATATACGTATACAGGCAGTCCTTCAGCTAATATGGATTTACACCTTAGAAGATTTGAATCTCAAATGAAAACTTTTAATTGAATTCTGAAAGAGACAACAGTAGCCATTGTCACAAATAGCAAATCATTATGATCTGAACACTTAGTGCTATGAGTGTACAGGTAGTTCTCAGGTTACAATGCCCCTCGTTCATTTAGTGAGCATTCAAAGTTAAAATGCTACTGAGTGAGGGGGCTTACGACTGGTCCTCAAAATTGTGGCTGCCATAGGTTTCCCGCAGTGATGCATGAATGCATGGTCAGGATTCAGGCACTTAAGAACTCACAATTACTGTGGTTGGAGTGCCATGCAGTCATGTGGTTATCATTTATGACCTTCTCTGCTGGTTTCCGAGAAGCAAAGTCAGTGGGGAAGCCAGCAGAAGGTTGCAAGTTTTTCCTGCTGCTTTTTCTCGCAAGGAGCCCCCAGGCAGCAAAGGGATGTCATACTCCGTAGCTCCCACCTTTCCATTTTCTGTAGTGCCCAGCCATAACACTTGCACTCCATGGTGCTGGCCCGTAGCATTCATTCCCTCCTGTACTTTGTAATGCCCCCCACTCACTCTATAGCACTTCCCTATAGTACTTTCCCACCCATACTCCATAGTACCTACTCGCCTATAGCTCTTGCCTATCAGCCGCTTTCCTGGATGTGATTTCAGTGCCTCTTCCCACAAAACAGTCATACAAGATCCTCACTTAATGACCGTCGCTTAATGATGGCAACAGGGACTGCCAAGACTATGTTGCTGAGCAGTACAGTCAGGTGAACACTTTATAACTATAATTGAATCCTTTAGTGAAGGAAATTCCAGTCTCAATTGCCTTCATAACCCAGGGACTACCAACCAAGACTTGCATGCTATATTAGTGGCAGTTTCCATGCTCCCTTCAGCGGGTCACAGAACATACTACTGTAATGAAATAAATTCAAGGCATGTGTTGCTGTGGCTATGTTCCCTTTTTAGGTAATTTTCAAATCAATCTACAATGGTTTTAAAAATCATAAATGTGCCAGAATTTTTGATAGCATAAACTGAATCCAGTGGTATGATTATCACTCTATCTGGAATGGCATCTAAATAAAATTCTCATTAAGTATGTTAGCTCTTGTCCTTCCAATTTTTTTCCCTAGACATCTGCCATGGGTTTCAGTGTCTCCTACGGGAATGTTTGCTCTGCATAATTTTTGCATGAAATGGATACAGCGTCGGCAGTATTTTTAATGGTAATGTGCAGAATGTGCACTCTTGCACAACATTAGTAAGTTAGTGATTTATTTAAGGTGTTCTTTATTCTTGGTAAACCAAATCCCTGAATAGAATATCCAGGCACATGTATCAATTATCTTGGTAATTTTTTCTATTAAAAATAAATATATATAAAATTAAATTGATGCTTCACATGATGAGCAATAATGTTGGATCGGGTTATTACTATGTGTTGCTTATCTCTTACAGCTCTATGCAGGAGCAATCCTTGAAGTGTGTGGATGAAAATTGGGGAGGTTCCCTCAGGTTCAGGGTAAGTGAAATTGCAGTATTTCTTTTCCAAAATCAGTGTCATTACACCCCATCATTTATTTAGATCCTAAAGGAATGTCTAGTCTGACATAGTATGCACACATACTCAAATAATTTATAAGGGATGGTCACTTCAGTTGGGATTTCCTCCAGATTCTGAACTTTTGTTCCTATCAGTACTAGAGAGCATGACCAGCGATGAAGTCTAATAGGAGTTGCAGTTCAGTTTTTGTTTTGTTTTTTACATTTCTTTCCCAGAATCCATGAGTAATATTTTTCCATCCCGTCTTAATTCAGGTTTCCTTTCTTGAATTAAAAACTGCCAGTCACTCTTCAACTTTCTTTTGTCCTATCAGGAGAGTGGGGAGATGAGAATTTTGCTCTTCACTTTGCTGATAGAAACCGAATCAGAAGAAGGATTTAGAGGGAAGTTGCCCAGGCCTTGAGGTTTTCTCTTGAATATGCAGTAGCTTTATGTACATGCATATAATGTGTGAGTTTTTAAACACCCACATCACATTCTACTTTGTTTTTATATAGATGTGCCGGTGCACGCACAGGGAGACATATACGTGCAAATGGCTTTCTATCTCCCACTTCCGAGCATTCCCTTCCTTGCCCCGACTATTTTTAAAATCTCTCTCAGGCCAAATCATTCTGTCAATGCTAATTGAGAGTTGGCTGTTGGAAACACCATAACAGGGTGGGAGGGGGTTGCTGGCGGCTGTAACAATGATTGCTTCAGGGTACTATTATTCCTGACATGAGAAGTGGCGCAAATATTAAATAAATTAAATAAATAACGAAGAGCGATTTCAGAGTCAGAAACAATAGAAATAGAAGAAAACAGTAGCACCGGTAGCGCATGCACGTTGCAGAACAGGAGTGAGAAGACATTTTGCTTTGCAAACATTTTAAAAGATTTCTAAGAAGTATTGGGTGTAAGAGATTTCGTTACAGTTGTTCTATTCAGCATCTCTAAGGTCTTAAATTGCAGCCAGTCATTTCCTAGGGAAGAAATACTGGTTTTGTTCTGAGGGCTTTGTTTGTTTCTTACGTGTCACTTGAATAACTGTAATTGAACATGGGGCTAGATGAAGGTAATTCTGTTGCTTCAAAAGATGGAATATTTTTAGATTGTTTTTGACTATATAGTTTGTTATTGCCAAGACACTGAAAGCACTATCTTTTTTTACTTTTATCTGGTGGGACCCACTTGTTTCTTTGCTGAATATCCCAAAACTGGGACATTTGTTTTCTGTACTGCACATTGATTATTTTTATTTTTTTTATAATCATTCTTTCTGTTTAACTGGAAAGTCTTGATACAGGAATAGCTGTATAAAATTGAGTCTGTAGAGATTCTCCATCATCTAGATCAGGGTTGTCCCAAAGATGCTTTGACGTTTCGCTTCTCTCATACTTTGTTTCAAAGAAAAAACAAAAAAGTCCAGTTGCCTCCTGAAAAAGCACCTTTGGGTGTATCAAATTGAGTTGCCGATCTGTGAACATTTCATTTATTCATATAACAACTTCTGCATCATTCCACTCCAGAGATTCTAGATCATCTACAATAATAATATCAACCAATAAAGAGTAACAAAAACAAAACATCAGCCTACATAATCTTAGGCAATCTGTCCTTGTCACTAGTGCGAAAGTCCTACAGAATAAAATCCTTTTTAGCGCCTTATAGGCCAGCAAGTTTTTTTTTTTTTTTTAATTTGATTTATATGCCGCCCTTCTCCGGAGACTCAGGGCGGCTTACAATGCGTTAAGCAATAGCCTTCATACTTTTGTATATTTATACAAAGTTAGCTTATTGCCCCCCACAAACTGGGTCCTCATTTAACCTACCTTAGAAAGGATGGAAGGCTGAGTCAACCTTGGACCTGGTAAGATTCGAACTTACAGTAATAGCAGACAGCTGATGTTAATCACAATGCTTTTAGTCTGCTGAGCTACCAGGCCCGGTGCTGAAGTTAAAGAGCCCATGAGCCTCAGAAGAAAATATGCTCCAAAGCAGAGGGTTGCCACTGAGAAATAGTTAGATTCCTTCACCTCAGGATCTTCAGCAGATTTTCTTGGGAAGAGTGCACTGGAGAGATCACTTATGTCGTCACAATGGTCGGAAGTGTGAGAACTGGTTCTTAAAATTACTTTTACAAAGCCATTGTAACTTTGAAACTATTGCAGTAAGGGCAGTAAGATCTACCTGTAGTGTATTAACATTTAATTATTTTACATTATCTATAACAAAGCAAAATGATCTCTTTGCTGAGTTCATCTTTAAAATAGCAAAGTAACACTGAGATTTGAAATACTTTTTCAATAGTCAACAGTATTTTCCTTCTCACAAAAATCATGACTTTTTTTAAAATTTCAATCTCTTGTTTTAGCTGAGCAGTATTCTTCAGGCCCACCAAATTGGGCTTATCTTTTGCAGTTTCTGGAATTAGAGCAGTTGCTTCTCAAACAGATTGTTTACAAAAGATGATTTTTTTTTGGTTACAAAATTAGTTATTTTAAGGTTAAATAAATGGCTGTCTGTGCACTAACTCAAGAGTGTTCATCTGGAGTCTTCTCCATCATCTGCTTGCTGCTTCTTTTAACTGGAGATGCCAGAAATTCAACCTGGACCTGCAGTGTGCAGATTTAGCATTGAACTGTGAGCCTTCCAATTTTGGTTTTACAGCTGAACTGTAGGTTTCCTTTACCAACATCTGCTATATATGCTATACTAATATCTGAGGTTTCTTCTTACTTCTGCCAGCTTTTTGTTCTTTTTTATTGTCCCATTGTTTTCTGTCTCTGTTCTATCAATTGAATAAAAGTTCAGTCTACTGTATTATAAATTGGTAGACAACAGTAGAAACGTTGCCCTTCTTCTTTTTCCTCTTTTTCTTCTTCTCCTCCTCCTCCTCCTCCCCCTCTTCCTCTTCCTCCCCCTCCTCCCCTTCTCCCAAAAACGTCCTTTCACACATGGACACACATCACTTCTGCCTGAAACTTGCATGTCCACCTGAACCTAGCTGTTAAATGTATGGAATATTTTGTACAAATATTTTTGTAAATTCTGTGTCCATTTCCTCATTTTAACCCGTTGCTGTCATGACATAGGTTCATTGCTTCTGTGTTATACAAATATCTCTTTTCTTTCAATCAAATCTCCATTTATTGTAGTGGAAATGGCGTTTTTCATCTAGCATTTTTCCTTTTTTAAATTAAAATTCTCTACTGCTTATTCATCCTCAGATCACATATTGAGAATGTCTCAACAGAAAATAAAGCAGGTTGTTTACTGCCTCTTTTTTTAATCCAGAAGGTGCCTCTGTTCATTTTTGCTAGCGTGAGGAAGCTGCCAACTCTACAATATGTCTTAGAGTTTTGAATTGACATCAGACAGAGCCGGAGATCAGCACTGTTATTTCTATCATTCTATTTCATTTTGTTCTTGGCATAGTGAGATCTGGTCTGCTAATGTTCCTGAAAAAGCAAAAGAGAAATCTGTCTACAAAGGAATATCTTTGAGTTGATGAAATGTTCCATACCACTGTGATAAACATTGCAAGCTTTTAATCCTTCAGTCAACAAAGCAGATTTGCATCTCATCTGGATAACTTAATGCTGATCTCCCAGATTGTTGCTGAGTTTACTCATTGCATTACACATAATAGGATTTATTTGGATTTGATTTAGTGTACTGTGTGAACTTAGTCATTGTGGTTGATATACCATACTTCATCACTTCGCATTATATATAAATCCAGCCAATGTTTGTGAAATGAAGGGAACAAGAGCCCCAAAAAAAATTTTCCCCCCAACATAGCTTCTTTTCCAACCCATGTTGTAAAACATCCTCTCTTAAACAGCAGCCTCTAACCTTTTGGACACCAGGGACCAGTTCTGTAGAAAAAGACTTTTCCGCCGACTGGAGGGGGTGTGGTTTGCATGCTACCTGCATCCTGCGGATGGGGCTTCGTTTGTTTGCACAGATCGGTTGCTGGCATGCCGCAGACTGGTGCCAGTCCACGGACTGGGAACTGGGGACCTCTGCTCTAAAAGCTGATTTGATCCTCTTAGCAATGGTTTCCCAGAGGTTTGTGAAGGTTGAACATTTTTAAAGGAACTTTGGACATTGTTTGAGTGCTATCTGGAATTGGCTTTTATTTGTTCACGTACTATTGTTTCTTGATTATTATTTTTTAGTTTGATTATTTAGCTTTTCTGATAATAGTCATTTCATTTCTTTTTTGAAGACTGCTATGAGACAATTACAATTCCATGGTATATAAGTAAATTTAAGAAATAAATATCTGTGGATTATTCAGTAGACCTTTGTTAAGTCATGGTTTAGTGTTATATATAAATCTAGCCAAATAACTAACACATGCAAGGGGCCCACATTTCCTGATGTTACTGTCTGCTTTCTGTACATGCAGGTGACTTAGCACTCATACATTGGCCAGGACAATAGACTAGAATACTACAGCTATGAATATACTATACCATGTTTCCCCAAAAATAAGACCGAGTCTCATATTAATTTTTGCTTCAAAAGACACGTTAGGGTTTATTTTCCAGTTAGGGCTTATTTTTGGGAAAATACAGTACTAAATGTGTCCATCTGGCTGACGATATTAACTGGGGCTTATTTTTGGGGTAGGGCTTAAATTGCAAGCATCTGGCAAAATCATGCTAGGGCTTATTTTTCGGGTAGGTTTTATTTTCGGAAAAATACGGTAGTATAGGTAGTGTTTAACATACAACTGCAATTAAGCCTGTAATTATGGTTATAAATCGTGCAGACATTAAGTGGGCCATCATGTGACAGTGCCCAATTTTACAGCCTTTTTTGTGGCAGTCATTGCGGTTGTAGTTGCTAAGCGAACACCGTGGTCCTAAAACAAAGCCATCTTCTTCAATGGTCATTTTTTTCTGGAAACGAGCCGTAAACGCTGGAAACCAGCCTGCCAAAAATTATAGTCATGTGACTGCAGAACATTGCAAGTCCACGCCAAGTGCCCAAATACATGAGACCCATCAGAACTGGGTCACAAGTAGCTTTGGGAAGGTCCATTATAACTTCAAACAGTCACTAGGCAAGGACTACCTGTAAAACATGCTTAAAATGGAAAAGAATTGCATCTATATATTAGGTAGGAAAAATGAATAAGGAATTGCTGTGAACACTTTAGAGTGATCAATACAGGTGGTCCTCAACTTACGACTACAATTGAGCTCAAAATTTCTCTTGTTAAGTGAGCCATTTGTTAAGTGAGTTTTGCCCCATTTTACGACCTTTCTTGCCACGGTTTTAAGTGAATCCCTGGAGTTGATAAGTTAGTAAGCCAGTTGTTAAGTGAATCTGATTTCCCCATTGACTTTGCTTGTCAGAAAGTCGCAAAAGGGGATCACATGATCCTTGGAACATAGCAACAGTCATAAATATGAACCAACTGCCAAGCATCTGAATTTTGATCACATGATCATGAGGATTCTGCAAAGGTCATAACTGAAAAACAGTCATAAGACACATTTTTCAGTGTTGTTGTAACTGAATGGTCACTAAATGAACTGTTGTCTAGGACTACCTGTCAGTGCTCCCTTTTTTCAAACCTGTGGCACTAATCATAAATTCAATGGCTGTCCATTTTCCTCAGGAGGTATTTGTTCTCTTTTAGTTACCTTTAATATGTAATGTTCAGAGTAGCATTCTAAAATCATTTTTGCCTTCCAATTAGATGTTTAAATTGGTATGTAAAAATATGAATCCCTTAATGCCTAAAAAGAGATACAGTATTTATCTGGAGAAATTAAGAGATATTTGGAATGTCTTTTTCTTCCCTTTGAATTCTAGCTTTTGTCAAGAGTGACAAGCCCAAACTGTTCAGGGGACTGCAGATTAAGGTAAGGACCTATTTTGACTGGTTTTGCTAGTGCTTTTTTATTTTATTTTTAATTAAAAACTCATAAAATATTTGGCATGAAGTATTATAAGACATTTAGAAACCTTTTGTGCATAGAGAATGGCATTTCAACTAAACAAGGCAGGAACATGATCAGCCATTTTCTAACCACTTGCTGAGAATATATTCCACAAGAATGTGCACACACGCATTCAGAATGTGCCTGCCAACAACAACAACTACAAAAAGACCCCTCTTCATTCATTGGGCAAAATGGAAGTTGGGAGAGTCCAAAGATTTCCAGCTTTTATACAGAACGAGTCATGGTACCTGTTTTGGTAAGAAAACTTTGTATAGCAAGTTTTCTTTCATGGTTTGTTCCCCCTTATACATTTTCCCCTTGTTTGTGATTTAGTTTCCTTTCACAAGGGAATAAAGCCTTGTTTATTTATACCAACCATATTACCAGTCTCTCTTTTTTTTTTAATGCTTACCGTGTTTCCCCGAAAATAGGAAATGTCTCGAAAATAAGGCCAAGCCTGATTTTTGGGGTGGGCGTAAATATACGCCCTCTCCCGAAAATAAGTCCTCCAGCAAGTGTGGCCGTTTTTGCCGTGGATTGTGGCCACTTCTGCAGCAGGAGGCCAAGCGATGCGCCCCATGAGCCTTGCGGCGGCCTTCCAAAGGGTACTATAGCAGCATCTATCCACAATTTTTTTACCCTTATTTCATCCCAACCGTCACCCCTGGGCCACGTGGGTCAGGACGAAATAAGGGTTAACAAATTGTGGATAGTTGCTGCTATGGTACCCTTTGGAAGGCCGCCGCAAGGCGCGAGTCTCCTGCTGCAGAAGTGGTTGCGCCCGAGGAGCGCTTTTGGGAGAGAAGGCAAAGGGGAAGTGAACCCTTGCAAAGTCTCGCCCTGCTCCCGCCTCTCCGCCGGGCAACTCTCAGCAGCCCCAGACGCCCAAAGCCCATGCCCACCTGGCTCCCTTTTCCACAATGCCCGGCTCTTTATTGGGAGGGGTGGGAGAGAAGCGAGAGGCATGGAGCGAGACAGGGCTCACTCTTCTTGCCGTCTCTTCTCCCCCTCTTGCCGGGCATGGCAGGGCTTCCTGTCCCTGCCCCAATTGGATGCAATTTGGTGATGGCAAATTGGGAGGGGTGGGGCTGGGGAGAAATGAAATGTTTCTTACCTGCCTTGTAGCTCCATCACGTGTCTTGCCATTGTCTGCAGGCAAACACGTTGTAGGGTAAAAGAAACCTCGCGAGAAGTTTGGTTTTACCCTACAACGTGTTTGCCTGCAGACAATGGCGAGACACACGACAGAGTTACAAGGCAAGTAAGACACGCGTGTCGTGTCTCCCTGGCCCCACCTCTCCCCACTTGCCATCCCCAGAAGCCATGATGTGGCCACGCTCGCTGTCTCCTGCACCTCCAAAATATTAACACACCCCCCCCCCCCCCCCCCCCCAATAATAAGACCAAGCCCTTATTTCAGGGTTCAAAAAAATATAAGGCAGGGTCTTATTTTTGGGGAAAAACAGTATCAGCTGTAAAGGTGCTAACTGATAAGTTTGCAAATTTTTTGCTCTCTTACTGTGTTTTCTCTTTTGTCCCCCTTTTTGTGGTGAACTAATAATAGAAGAGTGGCTATAATACATAGATTCAGACAGAATTCAGCTATACATTTTGCATCAAAAGATGCAAATGATAGGTTTGATCAGTAATAAGAAAAATAGCAACTGACTTAGTTACTTGTATAAAAAAAAAAATTTAACCTTTAAGGATTGTTGAACTGATACTTTCTCGATGCAAAATAACTTGTATTGATTCCATATACATTTTTAAAACATTACGATATTTTTATATACAGAATGATTTTTGAATAGTATTTATGTGATGGTATTAGAGTGGCTTCGGATTCTGTTAACACCATGAGTCCAGTTGCTAAAAGATTTTCTATTGAAATTCAGTAATAAAAAAATGCATTCCATTGAATGAATAACATAAAAGTTAGGAGTAATCTTACATCAGCAAACATCTCTCTGTTTCAGAGTTTAGCACAAACGAGAGCTCTCCCAAAATCAGACTGCACAAAGTTAGCGCAAAAACTTTCCCCTCCAGTGTCATATTTTTGTACTTAGTAAAAAAAAAAAGGAAATTTTAAATTGTTTCAACTTCTTATAAGGAAGGATTGAATAGAAGGAAAATGGAATGTTCAATATTGCCTTTTCAAATGGGCTCTTTATCTTTTCTACTCCAAGTAGAACTCTGCTTTATTTAATGGCAAAATCCAGATAATTCTGCTGAATCTAATTTTCATGTCTGGTGATGCTACTTTTTTGCAATCAGTCATAGACCTGAATTAACTAATCCAATTTTGACCATAGATAAAGCAGTACAGGCCTGTGTTTCACTTTTTTTTCATGACATAAATAGATCCATATTTACAACAGGCTACAATAATTAATTCAATATAAAACTGACATTTGAACTTTAGCAAGGGAGATGAGGTTTTACCATGCAAAATAGGCTGAATGTTTTTAATCCAAATAGACAGTAACCTTGGATATATTTTTTTTTCTCTATAGTATGTGCGTGGCTCTGATCCTGTACTGAAGCTCTTGGACGACAGTGGGAACATTGCCGAAGAACTGAGCATCCTGAAATGGAATACAGATAGCGTTGAAGAATTCTTAAATGAAAAGCTAGAACGTCTCTAAATATTTTTTCCCTTTTAAAAAGAATTGAAATCTGGATTTCTCATATTACTTTTTATCATCCTAATCTCCTCAAAGTGTGATAAATGCTGGAAAACATCCCAATGTCGGCATTAATTTAAAAGCTATTCCGTATTACGTGGATATTAATTACAAGGAATTTCAAGCAAAGCACAGTTTACAAATCGGTAGGCTGATCAAATGACTGTCTAGTGTATTTCAATTCAGTTTTGTAGATAGAGATCCTTAATGTTAGGTTTGATACAAATCTGATGCAAATTCTGAGCATTTTTACAATTTGAATATTTTTCATAAAGGGAGCCTATTTGTCAATTTCTCTTAATTAGGTGAATGTTCTGTGCTTGCATATAAGTGTGCATATTAATTATACTGTCACTCATTATACAATGATGAGACCTTGGTACCAAATTCGATATACTGTATTCCATCCAGCCCCACCCCCAAATACTTGCTACTTTTCTTTGCATTTTGTATTTCCCGACTATTCTTTTTTTTATAACAGAGAATATTCATAATGGATCCTCGCTTTTTTTTTAAAAAAATGTGGTTTTGGAGGGACTAACGCTGTTGAATGACTGGAAAACGCTAGGGGATTGCACTTAATGATGACTACGTAGAAAGCCTTAAAGAAAGGCATATGTATGTCTGATGTCACGTGTACTTTCACTAAATTATTCTATCATCTTCAGCAGACATGAGTTCAGTGAAGAGGAAAATTATTTGAGAGGGCAATAAATTACTTCACAAAATATGCATTGAAGGTGTCTTTTGTTCGGTACATTGTGATTTGATGCATTTAAATTTTATTTTATTAAATCAATCTGTATGTGCCTCATATTACGAAGGCAACTCTAAGTGACTTTGCAAACTTGTTTAGGACAGGGATGGCTTAAGAAGAACAGACAGTTTTTCAAACAAGATAATAATACCAAAAAAAAAAAAAAAAGTTGACCTCCTGAAATATAGAATCGCCTTTTAATCTGATCAGTATCTTCACAGGCAGAAGATACTCATCTTCAAGCTGCAATAATGAGAAAAATCTCATTATTGCAGCTTGAAGTACTAGTAATGATAAAATAATATCAATGGACCGACAAGGGGGCCTTGAACCTGGATCAAGAAAGTAACTTGAAAAAACATCTTAAGGCAAGACCATCCTAGTTCAACTGAAGATAAAGTGAGAAGCATATTCATATTTGCAAGATTCTTCTACTATCACTGTTACAATAAAAGTAATCCTAACCTATATGGCATTTTTTTTTTCAGTATGGCTTACCTTATGAGCTAACAAATGGTGATCCACTCATACTCAATGGAGAAGTATTGATGTTTTGCCACCATTACAACTATATCGTAGGCCGAGATAATGGATTTGTGTCCTTGTCCAGCCATGTTCCCTCATTTTTCCAGGAATTGATGTTCCATCTATCAGTCATCCCTTGATTAGAGTCTGACATACAGAGAGTGGTTTCTCCAGAGAAATTCTTCCAACTGTTTTCATTGTTTCTGCATTCCAGAGATCAACTAAATACCCAACTCAATTGCTTGTCAGATTGTTGAAAATTCCAAAACTGCCCACAGGGAATCTAGAGGATCCATAAGGGACCTTGGACAGATCATCTTAATTCAGGTCTCTTCCCTGCAGATCACAATAGTGCCAATTAGCATTATAGTGATCCGAAAATGATCTAACCATGACAACAAAAGTGATATTCTCCAGTCATTCCAATTCTCTTTCTTGCACTCAAAACAATTCGAGTAAGGTTCAAAATATTCTAAAGCTCATTGTGATGATACCATTTTTCAGAAGCTGTTTAAAACATTAATGGTGGTGTCTTCAAAGGACTAAAACGCCAAATAGTTCAGATCAAAATTATTGAAATAGGGGAATTTGAGCACAACTATATTACCATTTTGGGTACAGTAAGGCACTTTTTTTCTGTAGCAGATTTAAACTTCTACCCCTCAAAAATTGTTTTTAAAACTAAAATAATGTTAAGCAGTGTTTTTTTTTTTTTTTGCTTAATAAAAGTAATTTATTCAACAAGAAACAAGGAAAACACATTCAAAGCCAAAGAAATAACCTAAGCAATTCAATTAGCACTCTTAATCCAGTTTCCTAAATTGGATTATAATGGGAAATACTCACAGGACATAAATCAGTAAAACAGAAATTTGTTATGTGTTGAGTAATAGAAATCGCTTATTGTTTAAGATCCCCCCCAAAAAAATGTATTATGCAGATATAACAATGAACATTGATATTTAATTTTTCAAAACTTATATTTCAAAACTGGGTAAAGTTTCAATTAAAATGTATAACATTAGTTAAAGTTTTTTCATTTTTTTTCTGCAGAATATTTGGCTGCTATAAAAAAACAGGCCATGGGGGAGCAAGGAATTCCAATTTAACTTTCAGGGTACACAGGTTTTCTATTCCACAGTCCTACAACACAATCACAGAAAAGCACAAGATACTCAAAAAGGCCAAGCCGCATCTCAAAATCATTCACAAGTTGCCTCAATAGGAATATATTTTTGAGGTTATGGATATTTGGAATATTGGGGAAATTTTATTATTTGATTGCCATCTTACTCCCTCTTTTGTATTGTTTTTTGAGATTTTGCTTTATTTTTCTAAAAGGTTTGTTAAGAAGATCAGTATCCTATTGGTATGCTTCTGACTTGACTAGAAGGAAGGAAGATGTTTTCAGCTCCAGAAAAACAGACAACATAAAAAGCCAAGACATTAATTCAGTTTGCTGGTGCATTTACTCCCAATAAGCACCAGACTTTTCATACATCTAAATTAACTTAGCGTTAATTGAAAGTTAAACAGACTGCATCTATATTACTGATGTCTTAGAAATATTGTTAAAAAGCTATTCGGATCCATAATGGGAAAGATGTAAAATTAAGCCTTGGTCTTCCTGGAAAGGCCCAACATCTGGCTGCTTCTTGCTCTCATCCAACCTATCTGTGCCATGGTCACTTTGGCCAGGATTTCTGATTCAGATATAAATTCCTTTTACTTCAATTGTGTGTAACAACGTTTAATTTGACCTACCTTACCATTCACATACAGGTAGTCCTTATAACCATTTACTTAAGGACCACTTAAAACGGCACTAAAAAAAATGACATGACCAGGTTTCCCATTTATGAATACTGCAGCATCCCCCAAGTCATAACAATAAGACACTTGGGGTGCTTGGCAACCATCATTTAGAGAGCCGGATTAGTTTAACAAGCTTTCAACAGTGGGCAGGTTGCTCTGGGTGACTATTGCCAGAGCTTATGATGTACAATCCTTGCTGAGACCTAGGGCAATTACTGCCTACTCCACCAGAAGTGCGGTGACCACGGCAGCCTGGGTGACGTGGGCTTCGGTGGAGATCTGCCGGGCAGCAACCTGGACGACCCCGTAACCGTTCATGCGACAATACAGGCTGGATTCGGTGGAGGCTGCATTTGACAGATGAGTTTTACAGCGGGTGTTGGAGATGCCCAGCAATCAGGACTAGACAGGTACCCACCCATGAGGACGACCTGCTTGGGTAAGTCCCATGCCTGGAGTCTCGAGTCCCCTATCAGGAAAAAATGGGTGTTGGTCCTACCTGACACACCCCTTTCCTGGAGGGGAGGAGAGACTCCAGCCCCACCCTAAGGAGGGGTCTGATCCGAGGCATCCTTGAGGCATCATTACAGGTGCGCCATCCTGGAACATCACGAGGACTTCATTGAAACTTGGAGGAGCACCAGAGGGGGCATCTCTTCAAATTACAACCCAGTCTATAGAGCTAGAAGACAGAGTGAATCCCGTGCTTGGAGTCTCCTCCCCTCCAGAAAAGGGGTGTGTCAGGTAGGACCAACATCTGTTTTTTAAACAACCATGGCAAATTGTGTTATAAAATGGGGCGCCACTCATTTAACATCTGTCTTGCTTAGCAACATAAATTTTGGGTTCAGTTGGTTGTAAGTTGAATGTTGTATTGCTTCTTACATGTTTATAAGGGTGTGTGCATTTCCTTCATGGCATATAAATCATGTCAGACTAGACACTCTTCATGGCAACATACAGAAAAGCAATGTCAATAGGTTTCCTCTCATACAGTTCCTTAGGCATTTTCTGCACCCCATGTTAATGAGCACAGACTACAGGTAGTCCTTGACTTATGACCACAATTGAACCCAGAATTTATGTTCCTAAGTGGGAAATTTGGTGAGTTTTGTCCAGGGGTGAAATCTAAAATGTGTTACTACCGGTTCTATGGGCATTAACCCCTAATGTGACTGGGTGGGCATGGCCAACTTTTTTTTTAAAAAAAAACTTTTAAAAGCACTTTTTCTACCACCTCTTAAGCCGAAGAGGTTGCAGAAAAAACTGCTTTTAGAAGCATCTGATGATCCCAGCTGAGCCTTGCGATCATCAGAGGCTTTTTTTTCTACTTTTAAAAGCATTTTTTCGGCCGAACAGGTTGTAGAAAAAATGTTTTTAAAAGTAAAAAAACAGCCTCTAATGATCTCGCGGCTCAGCTGGGCATGGGGGGGGGGCGCACGATGTTTGCTACCGGTTCTCCAAACTACCTGTCTCCATCGCTACCGGATCGGCCGATCCGGTCCGAACCAGGAGCATTTCGCCCCTGGTTTTGTCCCATTTTACAACTTTCCTTGCCACGGTTGTTAAGTGAATCACTGCGCTTGTTGAATTAGCAACACAGTTGTTAAGTGAATCTGGCTTCCCCATTGATTTTGCTTGTTGGATCGTAAAAGATGGTCACATGACCCTGGGATGCTGCAACTGTCATAAATGTGAACCAGTTGCCAAGCATCTGAATGTAAACCTCGTGACCATGGGATTCTGCAATGGTCGTAAGTGTGAACAACGGTCGTAAGTTATTTTTTTCAGTGCCGTTGTAACTTTGAACGGACAGTAAACAAACTGTTGTAAGTTGAGGACTACCTGTATTGCATTGTCCAGCAGTGGGACCGACAAAATGATTGTAAACCTGTTCATATTGCTCACCAGGCTAGAAGAATTTTGGAAATTTGACTTTGGTCACTGCTTTAGGCAGTAGAAACTGAAGTACTTGGCAGACACAACTCAAGGAATGATAAAGTGATGTGTAAAAGGAGGGAGGGCAGCATCTGGAAAGTATTATATGCTGAGATAAAGGAGCTAATTTCCTGCTAATCAGATTTGACCTCTCATTAGATGGGGAGAGGAGAGTTAAATTATACATGAGGTTAACCATATCAAAATTGGAGGGAGGAAACACCAGTGTAGGCCAAGAAATCAGTCAAAACAGAGTGGAGTGAAGTAATTTAACACTTTCCTGGCACAAGGCTGATTTTTTTCAAAAATCCTCCCAGCGAGAGTTTTTTCATTCACATTCTAACTTGTTTCAGAAGTTATAACTCTTAGATTTTATGCCAATAGCTGATTAGGGAGAAGATATTCTGGATGGGCATGGAGGATGGATAAATTGAACCCCATATCTGAAATCCTGATGAAAACCCTACTCTCATGACTCATATTGTCTTTAGTTTGCTCTTAAATTTAAACCAGAAGTATTCAACTTCGGCAACTTTAAGACTTGTGTACTTCAACTCTCAGAATTCCCCAGCCAGCAAAGCTGGTTGGGGAACTCTGAGAATTGAAATCCACAAATCTTAAAGCTTGCACACTCTTGACTTAAATGCATTCGATATAACTTTAATGTCATGTCAAATGTAGCCTTGAGATGATCTAGACCAGGGGTCCCCAGTCCACAGACCACCATTGGTCCATGGCTCACCAGGAACCAGCACACGCAAGCGAGTGAAGGCCGACATCCATACATATTCAGAATCCAGGCAGCATGTGAAGCCGTGCCTTCTCCCCCCCCCCCCCCCCCCCCCGGGACCACAGAAAAACCACCCTCCACAAAATCGGTCCCTGGCACCCAAAAGAATGCTGAGATTCTAGACCAGTGATGGTTAACCTTTTCTGGATCAAGTGCCCAAAGCATACCCGTGCCCGTGCGCATGCAAAAGCGCATGTGTGTGCCTGAACTCCCAAAATGTGTGTGTGGGCCCTGTGCATGCACCCCATCTCCCATGCATGCGTGCACATGCCCCACATGTGCCCTGCCCATGCACGCATGCATGCACGCTCTCTGCATGTGGCCTGCCCCCATGCATGCACATACGGCCCTGCACATGCCCCCCCCATATATGCACAGCAGAGACCCGAATACCAGCTGACTGGCGGGAGGCACGCATGCATGCACAGCAAAGCTGAACTGGGGCAATGGCTCATGTGCCCACAGGCTGCTGTGTGCCACCTCTGGCAGCGTGCCATAGGTTCTAGACAATCTTCAGATTGTATCAAACATCACCATCATTTTGGGGATAACATTTAATCTTTCTGCAAGGAACTGTCTTTCAGCTGCAAGACCAAGCTGATTATGCTTTACAAAAATGTGGGAGTATGAGATGTAAAACATGATAGGAAGACTTGCATTTAGAAACTCTGTCCTTAAATTTTTCGATTAGCTCTACTCACTGATGTCAGTTTGCATTTATAGAACAATGCTAAAAACTCAGAACTTCCTGACTGTACCAAGAGAACACATACAAATTAATTGTGAGTAAAAAAACTCCCACTCAGAATTAAGGTTTCAACTAACACTCCAAGAGCTTTGGTGTGTTGAAAAGCATGCCAGTTTCTGTGTTTTTGTTTATTTTATATCTAATTATTGGAATTGAATTCTGGCATCTCAATGGTCTTAAACTATATATCAGATTACTAGAGGACTGTATAGGATTTAATACTTATTCTAAGCCAAGACACCATTACAACAATCTCAGCCTGTCTGCACTGACAGTCCAGAATGTATTTTCTTACAGCATCGAACATGTGACTGGCCGAAGATCTAATTATTAATATATGATTTCAGTGAATAGTCATTCTGAACACCTAAGAAGAAGAATATACATATTGTTTAAACTACCAGTTGAAGCTGATTTTTCAAACTCTTGATGTTAGAAGCACTTTGTGGATCAAGATTCAGGGGTAGATTAAGATTCTCAGATGTCCCCTCCAATTTAGGGGGATATGCATGCCATTCTTATAGCTGGATATTTTACTTTGTTGGTATACCTGGGAGGAAAATTAAGGAGAAAAAAATAGCAAAAAACCCTCTCGCAGAACTGGCCTGAAGCCAGCAGGGTTTTGAATGTTAAACTTCAGCATTTCCTGGCCTCAGCCAATATGACTAAATCCGTGATGGTGAACCTATGGCACGTGTGCCAGAGGTGGCACGCAGCACCCTCTCTGATGGCACATGAGCCGTCATCCCAATTCAACTCCACTGTGCGTGCGTGTGCATCTCCCACCAGCCAGCTGATTTTCGGGTCTGCTGTGCATGCGCATGGGGCGGGGTGCATGTGTGGGGGCTGTGCATGCATGCATGGGGTAGAGCACTTGTGCGGGTGGGCAGGGCGCATGCAGTGGGCCACACGCACATTGCATTTTGGGGGTTTAGGCACACGCTTTAGGCACTCGGTCCGGAAAAGTTTAGCCATCACTGGACTAAATGATGCATGGACATTTGAATCTGATCTTTAGCAGTCCAAATGCCACACAAATGAATCCCATGTTTGCACCAACAAAGTGTAAATGCAGTTAAATTAAGAATGGGGTACCAAACAAGAAGTTGGAAAATGGGGCCAAGGGTTGGATTGTGTTGCAGCTGAAATCTGTCATGTAAAAGTATCTGAATCTATCAGCATGGGTTAAATACTTGATAGTAAAGGAAAGCTTTCCATACATGGTCCACGACCTTACAAGTAGTACATGACTTACAACCATTTGTTTAGCCACTTTGAAGTTACAACATCACTGAATAAGTGACCTACAACTAGACTTTACATTTATGACCATTGCAGTATCTCCAGGTTACATGATCATAATTTGGGCACTTGGCAACCAACATGTATTTATAATGGTTGCAACCTCCTGGGTCATGTATTTGCTATTTGGGGACCTTCCTAACCAACTTCTGACAAGCAAAGTCAATAGGGGAAGCTGGATTTCTTTAACAACGCATGTTTCACTTAATTGGAGTAACTCAACATCCGTGGCCAAAAAAGTCGTAAAATGGGTCACAATTCACTTAAAGCCTTGCTTAGCAATGGAAGTTCTGGTCTCAGTTGTGGTCATAAGTCAAGGACTACCTACCTGTATCCTGATATTGAGAACTGGAATCTAGTGTGGAAGCTAGCACTAGCACTTAGACTTACATGCCGCTTCACAGTACTTTCCAGCCCTCTCTAAGTGGTTTACAGAGTCAGCATATTGCCCCCAACAATCTGGGTCCTCATTTTACCAACCTCGAAAGGATGGAAGACTGAGTCAACTTTCAGCCGGTGGGAATCGAATTCTGGCAGTCAGCAGAATTAGCCTGCAATACTGCATTCTAACCACTGCACCACTACGGCTCTGAACAGAAACAATGTTCTGTTGAGAGTAAGTTTAAGTTTAAGTTAAATCCTTTGTAGACCGGAACATACATTGCCTTGAGTAAACTGAGAGGTCACAGCAGATCAAAACAAAGAAGGCTCATCTTCCAAACATCTGCTTTCAGATCTGTGCTAAAGAATTGAAAGTAAGAGTAACCCTTTACAGATTCCCGCTCATTTTAAAGCAAGATGTTAGAGCCTGACATGATTTCTTCTTTCCTTCTGATCTTCAGTTTTACCAGGGAACGAAAGAGAAAGAAATGAACCCCACCATTACTAACCAGATATGTAGTCCCCCACCCCCAAAAAAACCTTGATGTGCCTTCATACTCACTTTTGTTGTCTTCTCAAGTTCCTGATTATGTTTAACACAAAAAGCCCCATTGATGTTTACATTACATGAACTGAATTAGTCACAGAGTGTCTAATTTTATGAAGCTTCATTCCTAAAACTCAGGCTCCCTGCAATTGTACATAATTTGGTCCTGTTATCCAATACTCCACACACTAATACTTTATACAATCCTCCCCCTCTCCACGGTGAAAGAATTACTTAAGGGTGTGTATGTCTATGTCTTCTAGCAAAACAAGAGAGTCCAGTTGCCTTTTGAAAGAAAGAACCTTGTTCTTGTTAATGGTGTGTAGGGAGCTCTATTGCACAGTTGCACTTAACATTTGCACTTATAGAGAATTTTGCTGAATCTTAGGGTTAAAGATAATATCCCTCAGATGACAGGAAAGGGGAGATAATAACTGTACTTAATTTCAGTCGGTTTTTCAAGTTCTAAGTTACATGGAAAAAGCTGTTCGATGCTGAGCCAAGATTGGCAACATAACACTAAAACTTCACACTTCGTATGTTAAAAAAATAACCGCTTGTGAATCAAAGGAGGACTTTCGGCAGTTCTTTTTTTTTTTTTCCCTTTTGTTTAGAGCAAAGGAGTGAGATTTCCTGAAGGACAACTATTAGCAGCTTTTGAACAAGCAAGATGGGGGTGAAGAAGGAAAACTATTTAACCAGTGTGATTTTGGTTTTTGTTTGGCTCCTCTTGGGTAAATGATTGGTCTTGCGGTTGGTCCCATAATAAATATTTCCATTTCAATTTGATGCCATCAGTCTACTTGAAACTATTATATCAGCTCTCACAGCTGTATGCCTGTAATAATATCTATGCAAAGATCATTTGCCAAACTTCAGAATGGCTTGGACATTATTTAAAAAATTATCTTTTACCATAAAAAGGGTTTAAGGTGCATTTCAGTGGTGGGTTGCCCCCAGTTCGGACCGGTTCTATAGAACCGGTAGTAAAACCGGAGGTAGGCTCCACCCACCAACCCCAATGTCATCAGAACGCTTCTGCGCATGTGCAGAAAAGCGCATACACGCGGCCCTTTTGCAAACCAGTAGTAAAGGTAAGTAGAACCCACCCCTGGTGCATTTGCATACAGCATGGGTGTTAAACTCAAGGCCCAGGGGCCGGATCCGGCCTATGGGATGCTTAGATCTGTCCTGCAGGGTTGCCCTGGAAACAGTGAAGGACCAGCCCGCTGTGCCTTGAGTTTGACATCCCTGCTGTGTGCAAATGCACCCTAAAATGGAGCTTGGGAGTTTTCACTGGCAGAGCACTCAAGTCACCACAGGTGCCTTTGACACAAGTGACGTTGAGCTGGCTATGACCATCCTGGCCACACACACACCGGCCCCCCTGAGGTCAAACACAACCTTGATGACACCCCTCCTGCGCGAGCTGCACTGGCTCCCAGTGGTCTTCCGGGTGCGATTCAAGGTGTTGGTAACCACCTTTAAAGCGCTCCATGGCACAGGACCCGGGTACCTTCGAGACCGACTTCTGCCACCAATAGCCTCCCACCGGCCAGTTCGCTCCCACAGAGAGGGTCTCCTCAGGGTGCCATCAGCCAAGTTATGTCAGCTGGCGATACCCAGGGGGAGGGCCTTCTCTGTGGGAGCCCCAGCCCTGTGGAATGAACTGCCCCCGGAAATACGTAAGATCTCCGACCTCCGGGTGTTTCGTTGTGCACTCAAGACCCTGTTGTTCCGCCAGGCTGGTCTATCAACATAACAATTTTAAATTGGGTTTTAAATTTCTGGGGTTTTAAATTTGAGCCAAATTCATTTAATAATTTTAAACTATTTTAACTGATGTTGTCTTGTGTTTTAATAGGCTGTACACCGCCCTGAGTCCTTCGGGAGAAGGGCGGTATAGAAATAAAATTATTATTATTATTATATTATTATTATTGATGCGGCCCTCAGTGAAATCGAGTTTGACACCCCTGGTATATAGGGTTGGTGCTGAGAGGCTCCAAGTCCAAAATGGCTGGATTGGGGTGGATACTCGATTAATGACCCATCATTCTTGGTTAATGATTGGAATGGGGAGTGCCAGGATTGCCAATATAAGTCAGTTGGGACACGTGACATCTCACTTTATGACTGCATTGACTTACGATGGAAATTTTGCTCCCAATTGTGGTGATAGTAAGTCAAGAATTACATGTACCAAATAAAACTGCTTTATATCCTTTACACACTGTCAAAATGCTTATTTGTTTTCTTCTGCAGTATTTATTTATTTACACACACACACACACACAGTAAGAACATTACAGGTAGTCCTCAACTTACAACCACAACTGAGCCCAAAATTTATGTTGCTAAGTGAGAAATGTGTTAACTGAATTTTGTCCCATTTTATGACTTTTCTTGCCTTATTTGTTAAGTGAATCACTGTAGTTGTTAAATTAGTAACTCAGTTGTTAAGTGAATCTAGTTTCCCTACTTACTTTGCTTGTCAGGTCAGAAAAGGTGCTCACATGACCCTGGGACGCTACAACTGTCATAAATGTCAGTCAGTTGTCAAGCATCCGAATGTAAATCACATGACCATGGGGACACTGCAGCAGTCGTTAAGTGTGAAAAATTGTCGTAAGTCACTTTTTTCAGTGCCATTTTAACTTCAAATGGTCACTAAGTGAACTGTTGTAGATCGAGGATTACCTGTATTCTGTTCTTATAGTAAACTTCAAAACTGGAGTGATAATCATAACCCTACTGTGCATGTTGTGCTTTCTGCATTCATTGTCTTTTCTATCAATCCCACCCACATTTCCATTGAAATGGGTAAAGATCCAAGGATCAAGTTCTGTGCTAGGAAAATAATGCAATTTGACGGTGACTTTGAAGTTTGCTCTCGGTAGCCCATCAAATCATGTGAATGGTTTATTTTGAAGCCCTGTAAAATCCTTTTAATCTCAATCTTTTGTATTACAGATTAGAATGGCTCCATGTAATTGTGCCCTTTGTTTTTGTTTTTGACTTGTTTTCATTTTTATCTACTTAGCATCGATCATGCACTTGTGATCAAAAGTTGACATAGAAACAATGGGGATATAAAATGCATATATATTTCTTCTCAATATCTTTTTTTCATAATGTATTCATAAACATTACGTCTCACGCGTTAAAACCCTTCTGAGATGTATGATTGTCTTCTCTTAAAAAATACATGTAAATTTACAGGATGAATGACTGAGATCTGGGAGATGAAATCAGCTAAACATTTTGGATTTTAAGCCCTTAAAAATGGCATGGCTCGATGAGACTGATGAGAGTTGAAGACCAGAGAACTGGAGGACCAAAGCTTGTTTACTTCTGATTTAGTTGTATGGTAATCTTGCCAGTCATATTTACCCGACCCACCAGAGCGAGGAGGCAAGGAATGTTGCAGGTCCCATCCCATACGGAGATACACCTGGTGGGACCCAGAAGAAGGGCTTTCTCCATGGGGGCTCCCTCTCTCTGGAACATCATTCCTCCCGCGATTAGAATGGCCCCCACTCTAATACTCTTCCGGAAGGTGCCGTAGACCTGGTTCTGCCAACGGGACTGGGGAACAAGAGCGGGATGGAGCCCATTAAATGGCTCATGTGATATGTTGTTGCTGGGGCGGGGGGTTATTTTATTTTATTAATTTATTACATGATTCTCTCTTTTATTAGTTTTATTGTTTTTTATATGATGTTTTTATGTTCTTGTAAGCCGTCTTGAGTCACCATGTGAAAATAGGCGGCAATATAAATTTCCTAAATAAATAAAATTCTGGATAATTTTGCAATTTATGAATTGTGAAATTGCACTATCTGTTTAGATTTTACTGGACATACTATATCACACATCCAGTTGTTGGTAACCAATATACATTTGATGCTGCAATTAAACTGGATAACATGGGGGACATTGTTGTGTGCCCTGATTACAGCTTTTCTGCATACAAATTAGTAAAGACTTGTTATGCCTTGAAGACTACAGAAAGCTCTCCCCAAAACTCTTGGTAAGCAATAAACGCAAACAATAGTTCTACATTGTTTTTAGGAAATAGATGATGCCATCTACTGGTGAAAGAATGCTATGAAGAAATAGTAAAGGGTATTAGTAATTGCCATTAAGAGACATTACCAAACTTAACATTACTGTATTATAGCCCTTCAAATATTAAACTCCCCATCACTGGCTATGCTGGCTGGAGCTAATGAGGGCTGCAGTTCAACAACGCTTAAAAGATTCCCAGTGCTTTGATTGGGAGTGTGTCCACATTATAAAAAAATAAAAACAGGATTAATAAAAAGGGTTGGCACAAAATCATCTTAGCACTCTGCTTTCTAGTAAATAGATGATTTCTGTTTGGAAGCATCTGTTAATGGCAGCCATTTTATAAGAACACCTACCATATGTTTCTAAATTCCAAATGTATCTAAATGCACACGTCGTCTGAAAGTCGATTATATAATGATGTGTGTCACTGCTGGTAAATTGCATAGGTTTAGGGAAGGTGAAGCATGAACTTTTAACTTTTACTCTGATGAGTAAAATATATAGGAAATATTAATGGCAAAAATTCTCTTTTGCTTTCCCCACCGATTTCTAGTCTGCCTTTCCTCCAGGATTTCAAGGAATATACACAGCGTTCTCTCCCCCAGGTTTTTCTTACAAGCTTTGAGATAGAATTACACATCCATGGCTGAGGATGGCATGGAGCACAAATTTTCCTGTCCTAATCCAACATTTAATTGCCACAATATAGTCCTCAGACAGATTTAATTCATTTCTGAAATAAATTCCACCTTTGCATCAATTCTAGCTTCTGTTTTAAAGGGGGCATTTAAACAATAGCACAAATATATTGCATTTATTAAATATTCTTACCTGCTCTTAAATTCAGGAAATTGAAATTAATATGAACAGTGTGACCAAAAAAATACATATTGGTGCTTGTGTTATTCTATGTGATGCTGATTAATATCTACCCTATTAGTTTTTTTCTTCCTAACCAGCTATACTGTGTACTATTGTATAAATATTTATGGAAAGTTGCAGGTTCAGGTGTAACAACTGCAATCCACCCTAATTTCAACCCAACTGATTGTGTGCTATATGTAATGTGTTAACAGGTTATGCAGGTTATAATTTCAAAATGACTAGGGTTGTCATGAAATTAGGCCTAACCTGCTGGATTTTGACCATTTTTAAATCCAGAAGTGGACAAATGTCATGCAGAATTAGCTTCATTTTTTACTTGCACCCTAAGGTCCAGTCAGCAGCTAAAGACAGCTGTGAAATACTTACTCAGGAAAATGGGGATAGATTTATAAAATAAGGGGTTATTGACAGTAGTGGTTTTCACTTACCTTCGCTACCGGTTTGGGACTGTGAGCGTGCACCGCCGCTACCGATTCGCCTGAACCAGGGCAAACTGGTAGAAACCCACCACTGATTATTAAATACATAGAATTGGAAGGTACATATCTTTATACATATTTCCATCACACATGAATCTATTTTTCTTCCCTTCTCTTATCCACATTTCTGGCCAATTTGGTTTAAGAGAAGATCAGTACTTTTATGGCCAGTATTTTTAAATTTTGACACAGTCCATTACCAGTGCCTGGGAATGAGATTTTTCATTGACATCACCTGTCTGAACCCAGAGGGCAATTCAAGCAGATGGGCCAGATGAACAGAACACAGAACTAGGATTCAATGAAATAGGTAATATATCCCATATGGCAGGGGTGGGGAACCATA